TTACTGGATCTTAGAGATGTTTACAGAGAGAAATAGTGTTCGTGTGTGTGTGTGTGTGTGTGTGTGTGGCCAGACTGCAGATGGACAGAGGACGTGAGAATTCAGTGAATGTCTCAGAGCCTGGTCTTGATGACAGCCTGTCTATTTAGCAGCAGCCTGCTGGGATGGCTCTTCTGCTTTGTGCACTAATTGGTGCAAGTGTCCTGTCTCATGGTTGACTGTCCTGCCTTGTTTTTTTTTTCTTATTCAACAGCACGTTGAATGGGATTTGGGTGCGGTCACTGTGATGTGGCATGGTCATAACAAGAGTTATACATCTGGGAAAGCATGCTGTGTCACAGCAGTACTATCACCATGACTAACATCAGTCTCTTTACATTCACACTGCCATCCGTCTACTATAGTGTATGTAAAAATGTAGTTCTCACGGGACAAACTAAGAACATCTACTGGTACTGCACAAGTGCTGTCTAACATCTTTGTGAACTTACTGAAAGAGACATCAGGACAGAGAGATTACAAGAGCAGTTCAACACCATTTAATAAGCCTCATTCTCTTTCATTTGAAGCATACGCAGCATGCCAAACATCCTTACAAAGCACCCACAGACCCCAATTAGCTAATATGCACTATAACTTAAAATGCCCCCACTGAACACAGGCCTTTTTGCGAAGGGTATTAAAAGCCAAAATATGTGCTATCAGAGCATGTGGTGCACCCTGGGAAGTAGGATCCTCTGGAGATGGCTCGCTGACAACTGAACGAGCCAGGCAGATCACAGAGAGGAAACACACCCTTCATCACACCTTGCACACCAAGTCTGTTTTATGTCAGGACGTTTTGATCTTTGTACTAACAGATAGGAAATAATTGTGCTTTCTCTTTGAGAGGCTCTTTCAGTGTCTGTGTACACAGACCTGCCTGCTTATGCATGGATGAGAGACTTGTGGGGGGTGAAGGTGACTTGAGTGACCATGCAATTATGGGTTTTTTTTTTGTGAATTACAGTAAAAGTGAGTAAAGACAAGACTGCGTAGTTTTTGCCCTTTCCTCAAAACCGAACCAATACTAATGTTCGCAACACCCTTTTATATGCTAAATATCAATGGCAATTTTCTTGTTTGAACTGATATAAATGTTGTATAAATATTGTAAGCCTATGTGACTAGAAGCGGGGGTGTAAGTAAAGGCTATGGTGAAAAGGAGAGAAGAAGGGAGTTCCTGTGTGGCATGGCTGACGACTGCTGGGCATATGAGGCTTTTAAGCAGTGCCCAAGGCCCAAAGCCGGTGGTTTTTAGTTGTGCTACGCTGACTTTCAAACTGGTCAAATTAACTGGTAAATGAGGTGGTAATTAGCAAGTGTTGGCTCAAGAAAATTGTTCATTTAGTCCAAGGAGAATGAAGAAAGTGGCTGATGAGCTGTTGGGTGTGCACAGTGGAGCCATGAAGAGACAAAAGTCTTCTACATCTTTCCATAAAGGAGCTATAATCAACAATTTTATATCTACAAATCACATGACTACTCGCATTTGAAAAGAGTCCCAGACAGTGATGAATCACAGAGAATCATCACCTGACTCTGTAATACTTTATAGTTCAATGTTTTGGTTTTCTTTCCCAGTGATGGCCTGAGTGTTGGTGGTTAAAAAATAAAGAACTAGTTTGGTTCATTCACAGCTTCATTTTCAGAAGCAGCAACCTGATGTTTTCAGCTGTTTAAAAAAAACCCTCCATACACTATTTTGACAATTACTGTGTAAAATACTGGATTTATAATTTTAATTTTGCTATGAAATACCACAAGGCCTTATTTATGTCCCTTGGTAAAAGTCGAGGTTTTGGTTGTGCTGTGGGGGCCTGTCTTTGGGAGGACCTTTCTATCATAAGTAACAAGTTGAGACAAGATGTTTAAAGGTTTCATTTGGAGCATATGTCATGTCTATCGGCAGTGAATCCTAATGCAAGTAACCAAACAGGGGGGTGTGCAGCCACATTTTGCTCCATTGTTGTTGTCTGTCTGCTGACAACTGCAAGGCTGTGACTGCCAGTGCCAGAGGTGTTACTTTTCCTCCTTTGACTTTTTGGATTCATCACCCAGTGAGCATAGGCTGTGACCCATAAAAACACCCATGGGTAAGCTTCCAGGGCTTGGCTGAGCATGCAGGGTAGGGTAACAGATTCCAGCTCAGTGATGAGTCAGTAAATGGTCACAGAGAAACAGTCTGTGCAGTCCATAACCAAAGAAACATACATATCAGGGATAAAGATCTAAGGTTATTTTGCTCCAGCTAACCACTGACCCAGTAACTCGATCAATGGTTTCCATTTTTTTAAAGCTACATCTTTTTTAATATTTTATAAATTTTATTTTACATATAAAAATTATATTTAAGACCTTCATCCTTACTGTTAAATTATCTTACTCTTCTGTTGTGGATACTGACAAGAAATAAGTCACATGCATCATATATCAAGACACAGTACAATCAACAATTATATAATTAGGTTAAAAAAAAACAAATAACACTGTTCAGCTGTCATGCATATCAATGCACATTCTAAACAGATCAATCTTTTCCCATTCATCACTAGTAATTATAATTTCAAGTCCTCCGGAAGATGAGTTATGTCAAAGCTAAAAATGACAGTAAGATGGCTGGTTTGGCACTGATTCAAAAATGTTAATTGACTGCTTCAGCGAAACGGAGCCTGTGTGATCGATGTGCTCATCGCCCTTTTCCCTCAAAGAGAATGTCTCTCAGGATAAAACAAACACCACTCCACATTTGCCTTGACAAGAACCTAGAATCCTGGGAGAAGAAGATGGAGGCGTATAAAAGTGTAATGATGACAAAAGACTGTGCCAGCTGCTTGGGTTACTGTACACAGTGCAGACACAACAAATGACTTACAATAATTAAACGCAAGAAGGGATGGAGATCCTCTGGAGAGACTGCTCCCTAAAATACCTTATGGAGTTTACTTAACCAATGTCAGCTCAAACCTTTTCTTTTTTTTTAAATGAGAGTGTGGAGACAGGCTGTCACTTTGTTTTCATCAATATAGCAATATGGGAGATCAAGTTGCAACAGCAAGTATTGCCTTCCACAGAAGAGCTTATTTAGGATAAATCTGATCAGTTTAAAGCTTGTGTGTAGTGTCTTGAGTGAGATACAGTGACATACCTTCAACAATGTCCTGCGCCAGCGAGTGGGCACACTTGTAAAACACTCTGGCACACAGTGGCACCAGTTCAGGCTCCATCTTCTTCATAACGTTCTTTAATGTCGAGCCAACTGCTCTCGTTACATCCGTTCTTTAATGTCGAGCCAACTGCTCTTGTTACATACTTTACACCAGTTACCTCCAGGCTATCGCTGGGCACAGCAAGGGAAAGGGAAACTGAAGCATTACATCTGTCAGCAGACATCACGGTGTGGCACTCTATGGATCCGTGTGCCACCTTTGTAGTCATGTGATGGAAAGTCCTTTGAGTGAAATCCTCCTGAATTGCAGTTACATGAAGCTCAACAGCTGCACCCTTGGGTAAGGCAGGTACCACAACAACCAGCAATTTAGTGGGTTTGATCTCAGGCTCCCAAGACAAGTCCTGCAATGCACACAGATGGTATTTAAATGAACTGGCTGGCAAATTATATACTGTATTGTGGCATACACTACAATTGAATGTATGGCCCTCCTGCTGGCTCTGATTACCAACTCTACTACATTAACATTAAACATTACTGTAAAACATCAAATGTCTAATATAAAGCACCAGGACAGGCTTGGTACTTGGCAGACTGACAGGTTATCAATTAACATGAGATTGTAAGGTGACCCAATTCAGAAAGAACCCATAACACTTGCATTCACCATAAACACAAATGCATTCCTGTCCATGATGACTTTTCACCTTTCTAGGAGGATCAACACGTTGTAGCAGTTTCACCGCACGTTTAGTGGAAAACTGCCTCAATTTTATCTATAGAGCCTACATTTCTTTTTTCGCTCCTGTCCTCTGGCCATTAGCAGTAACAAATGTCTTAGAGCACTCCTACAATGTGGCCCTGTAATAATACTTGGCTGTGGCTTCACCAGCTAATGGGAGAGAAATTAGTGTTTTGTATAACAGTTATTTCAGTCAGAGTCGATAGGGCATAAACACTTAACCCCCTTTTCAATTTGCTGGATCAATTTTCATCCACTTACACCCCACTTCATAAGTGCAGAATAATAACAGGTTACTTACATTTTATTTTGATTTTCACTCACAAAAAAAAGAAGAGAGAAATCACTGACAAGAGCAGATGACACCCTTTTTGTCCCTTCAACAGACAAACCCATCATGACCCAGTCCACCAGAATCACTGAAGCAGCACTTACCTTCAGATTCAACTTTAAGCAAAGGCTTAATTGTGTATAAACAGCTAACGTCTTGCTTTGGAGAGAGTGTGTGTGTGTG